GAGTCAGGGGGCCTGAAAAAAAACTATTATCTCACTTTATCCTTTTGTAATGGCTATAGTACAAAAGTTTTTCATTTTTTTCATGCAGGAGAGTGCTGAGTAATTCCCACACTCCACTCCCAGAAAAGAGGGTGGAGCAGGCCAAGTAAGTTTGAGAATCGCTGGCCTATACAGATGCAAGTAATGACTCCATGGAGTTAGCATTGAAGAATTTAAACCAAGGAATCTTTTGAAAACAAATAATCAACTGAACTAAGGGGGATAATTCTGGGGAAAACTTTACAGGAAATCATGGGGGTGTAATAAATATTAAGTTATAGTCTGTTCCTCATTTGACAAACTACGGATGTAGATTCCTATTTTATTAGTTCTTCTTCATGTGCCTTAAACTTATATGAGGAGTCTAAGCAATCATTTTTTAAAATTCTAGATACATTTGCCCAAATTAATTCAAATACAATAGGATTTTTAATAGTCTTGTTATAGGTGTTAAAGTGATAGTAATGCATGATTATTCTAGTCCTTTTATCACTGAAAAAAGGTGCCCACTGGTTACTAACCACAACTTCAGCAGTTCCAAAACACAAGCTGTTCCATCGGAGATAGATGAGGCTTTCTGCTCACAAAAAGAGTTACAGTTTCAGAAACCCAAAGGGGCAATTCTACTTTATCCTGTAGAGTCCTTATGAGTCGGCATCAATTCAATTGTGGTGAGTTTGATTTTATCCCTGACAAAAAGTGTCCAACAGAATAATGTATTCCCAGAAAAGCCTAAAAGGAAATGCAGCCGACAGATACTGCTACTATTGATCTGCCTGTATAGGCAAGCACTTACCTAAGCAATTTATGACCATTGGTTGTAGCAACTTCAGCAAGGCTTGTTAGAATCTTTAGGTACTGGTTTTCACTTTGCTGAGACAGATGCTCCAGAACTTGTCGCAACTAATTAAAAAAAAACAAAAACTGATTAGATGATAACCCATTCCATTCTCCCAAAAACATATTTTAGTTTAATAAGTGTTCCAAAATCAAATAACTGAATCAATTCCGTGACAGTTATTTTGTCTTAAATTTAAAAACTAATATAAGGATAAGATGATATAAAATCTTTCTTTAAAATCATCCAGTCCAAACCAATAAAAAATAGAAATGCAGAGTTCTACAGATTTTCAAAAAGTAGAATTATTATAAATACCAAAAAAGCTCACTGCCATTGAGTAATTGCTGACTCATAATGACCCGCTGTGGGTTTCTGAGACTGTAACTATTTACAGAAGTAGAAAGGTCCATCTTTCTCTGATGGAGCTGCTCACAGCCCAACACATTACCACTACACCGCCAAGGCTCAGTAAAGTGATGATTATTAATCAGCACATAAAATTCCTCCTCAGGTTCTTTTCCTTTACCTGCTAGAAATACCAGGAGACTTCAAAAGGTTCGTAGAAAAATATCATTATTTTTCACTTTCTCTTTGCAATGAACTTTCTGAAGCCACCTTGTACATATGCTAGTCATCTTTAAGTATACATCAAAGATATGGGACATGACTCATTATTGTAAAGTTTATACCTATTCTACAATGCAGATAAGTGCATTCAAATTATTAAAGTTTATATTCAATAAATAAAATAAATAGGGGAAGTGGGGGG